CCAGATGGGTGACCTGGGTGAGGTTCTGCTCCACTCTGAACCTACTTCCGTCCCCGGTTCAAGGAGAGCTAACTGGGTCAGGAGAGCCAAGACCTGGCCCAGCCTGGCTCAGGATAAGCATCCAATGAGTGGCAGCTTAAAAATAGATGAACCAGAGTTTCTCTGGTTGTAGCTCAGTTGGCGGAGTGCTTGCCTAGCATGCATGAAGTCCTGAGTTCAAGCCCTTAGCACCACATACATGAGGCATGCTGGTACATGTCCGTATCCTAGCACCTGGGAGGTAGAGGCAAAAGGGATCAGAAGTTCAAGGTCATCCTCAGCTACACAGCAAGTTATGGTTAGCCTGGGCTATTGGAGACCCTATTTAAACAAGAAAAAAAAAAGATAACTGGGGCAGATGTGGTGGCCCCAACATGAAATTCTAGCATTTGGGAGAAGCAGGAGGATGACCTTGAGTTCAATGCCAGCCAGGACTACAGAATAAGACCCCTGTCTCGAAAACCAATAAACAAGAAATGCTGAAAAATACAAATAGATACGGAATACAAAATAGTTCCTAGATGCAGTGTGTATGGCCAGTATCTCACTGTCCTCAACGCAAATGCCTGGCACCTACTGCTCCCTCAGAGGCACGAGGAGTCCTCTTTACCATCAAGAAGGCCTGGAGCAATTGTCTGTAGGATGCACCAGCCCATGAGAGGAGTGGCTATTGAATGTTGGCGGTGCCAGCACTGACGGTGGGGTGGTCTTTGCACTGAGACCCTCTCGACCCCATGTTATACTCCCACTCTATTACCATCCCCACTCAACTTGGTGAGCTCACACACTTGGGGACAGTGGGTCAGGGACTGCAGACGGGTCTCCTGATCCCCCAGATCTCCCAGGTGTCGCCTGCACCTGGAGTAGGAGGAACTGGGTAGTCCCAGTTGGTTGCAGGCTCCAGGCTCTGTGAGGCATCAGTGCCAAGTTCATGACCCCTGACCTCTACTACAGGCTCTGAACATGGCCCATGCTAACCCTTGGCAGGTGGGGACTATGGCCAACAAGTGGTCCAGGTGTGCAGAGGACCAAGGAGGCCACGGAAGCCTGAGACGACCCACAAGGCCAAGGGTGCTGAGGATGACGACCAGGCTGGCCTCGAACTCACAGACAGCCTCCTGCCTCTGCCTCCCATGTGCTGGGATTAAAGGAGTGTTCCACCAGCACCCAGCTCATACCTCTCACTTCTAAGTTGCTGGAGTACATGTTGAGACTGTCAGGCTCTGTCCTCTCCGGATGGGGAGAGGGTTAGAAAATGCAGCCTGATCTTGGGGTGGCACTCAGGATGCAGGAGGAAGGGTGGAGAGTGACTGTCTCAGCCAGTGTGACCTCGACAGCCCTGGCTGAGGGGTCGTGGAGGGAGTATGGGAGATGGGACACCCAGGTCTCCACCTCATAGTGTGACCTTGGCAGGCGTCCCTGCTGTCTGTCTGGCCTCTGTCCTGTACTCTGTGGAGCCTGTGCTCCCAGGCAGGTGCACTCGGGGCTGGAATCCCACAGCTGTGAGCATGGGTTGACCAAGGGACCTGTCACTAAGGAAACATCTAGATACCTAACTGCTAGAACTCCGGCCAAGGGAGACTGCAGGGTTTCTGGGGAGGCTCCGACTCTGAGAGCCTAGAGTTGAGAGACCCATCCTTACACTCCACCGAGCTTCACAGGCCGGGGTATGCTGGGTTCCTCAGGTCGTACAGGACCACACTTCTTCTAACACAGTGGAGGACACCCAGTAGGTAGCCCTGCTATGTTACCATCAGTCAGTCTGAACCAACTTCACACAGACTGACCCTGCTCTTCCCCTCCCCCACCCATGACCCCACTGCTGACACCTTCCAGGGACCTGAGTCACCTGCCCGAATACTATTCCATGAACTTGGGACAGAACTCCCTCAGAGTGCAGAGGAAGGGGGAGGAATGGTTTTTCAACATTCCCCAGACCAAGGTTCCCTCTAGGGCCTGCCCAGCCCCCTCTCAGACCAGTTTATCCTTCTCTGCTGTGTAAATTTCTGGAGCGGCCAGTGGAATCTTCTAAGACCTTGGGTGAGGAGACTTGGTCTCTACACTCTCACTCCCAGTCTGCCCCCTGCTCCCACGAAGGGTAAGAGTCCCAAGTGGGACAATGGCCCAACCTTTTTTTTTTTTTTGGTGGGGGGCGTTGTTTTGCTTTGACACAAGGTCTCATGTAGCCCAGGTTGGCCACAAACTGTGCTGTGGGTGCTGGCCTTGAACTCTGGATCTTGCACTCCTGAGATTACAGGCATGTCCCGACACCTTCCAACCTCTTTTCTAAAAGATTACCCCAAAGACAAATATGCCCCTCCCCCAGCCTCCGTGAAAGACCCTACACTCGCATTCACAGACAGGTACCGCCCCCCACCCCACCCCCCACTCCGCGCGGCGCGCGCCAACAGATAGAGTCACTCTCGTTCCCTGGAATCACCTTGGGGACAACCAAGGTGCCAGGTCAGAGACAAAGGCCCAGGGGTTACTGGGAACATCAACTGTCCTCTCTCCACTCCTGTCCCCTGGGCAGAGATGGAGGTGGGGATGGAGTTAGGGATGAGGGTGGGGCAAAGCCAACCTTGATAACCTGAGTTTCCCTCCTGACCCCCCAAGGGGTTTCTAGGGCTGAGGACAGAGGCACCGGGAGGGAACGGGATCCCGGGCTAGGAAGGCCTGCGTCTTGGGGAGCAGGAGCGAGGTCTGCTATCTTCCTGGAGCTCAGTGGCCCGTAAGAGGACCAAAAGAACCGGAAGCCGCCCTCCCTTCCCAGGCACACTGCAGGAGGCGTGTGGCTGCAGGGAAGAAAGCATGGCACCGGGGACCTTGCTTCATGCCACCTGCCGGGTGCCGAGTGGGGCGTGGGGTGTGGAGACCTCCGCCCGCTCCGCGCTCTGCACGCTGCCC